CTGAAACATGCTTGGAGAAGATCACAACTCCAGGCATTTAAACGGCATACACTCCTTCCCACTGAAACACAAAGCTCTATTACTTTCTCGGAAACCTTCATGTTTGAACCCCTTACCCTTGATCTTTTGCTTGGTGTATAGGCCTTGGAATTGCTGAAAATAAGTCTCACATCTTTACATAACTCCATCGGTGACTCATAGTTGCCAGCTTCCAGTGTTTCTCTAACAGTAGCAAAATCCATAGGAGTGTCAATAATGTCTCTATAATCCTGTAAAGAAACAGCAAAGCAGCAATGCATTACAAATTCTTTTTTCAAGCCTTAATGTATCATTTTCATTCGGATGCACCTGATAAACATGTTCAAACCAAATGCTCTCTTTACAGAGCTGTGGAAGACTGCTAAAGATACTGGGCTGCATCAGGAGAAGTGTAGGCAGCAGGTCTAGGGAGGGGATTCTGCCCCTGTACTCTGCTCTGGTGAGACCCCACCTGGAGTGCTGCGTCCAGCTGTGGAGCCCTCAACATAAGGATATAGACTGGTTGGAGTGAGTACAGAGAAGCTGTGGATGCCCCATCCCTGGAAGTGTTCAAGGCCAGGCTGGATGAGGCTTTGAGCAACCTGGTCTAGTGGAAGGGGGGTTGGAACTAGATGGTCTTTAAGGTCCCTTCCAACCCAAACCGTTCTGTGATTCTATGAAAGACACTGTGCTCCTGCCGTAGGAGTTACACAGTGTAACTCCTCACAGACATAATCGACAGGATCAGGGTTAGAAGTCAACCAATACAACATTTACTTCATTTTGTAAACAGATGTACAGAAACACAGAGCTCAAAACGTTGTGACCTAAGCGTTGTATTACTGACACGCTGTCATGAAGATAACAGTGATAGGAAAGTGTGACTAACAAACTCTCTGGGTGGCATAACAGCTCAAACTTGCTACTCAGCCTACTGTTGTTTTTATGTATTAGCTTTAAAATACAAAGTTTGAATATTTGAACCTGATTAGAGGCTTAAGCACATATCTGCTGAAAGCTGAGCGGTTTCCCCCACGGAGACCTGACAATTTAGGAAAGTAATATTAAAATAGTGAAAACAGCAGAGGCTTAACTAGGACCCCCTTCAAGTCAGTACCAGAACTTTTTTCCCTAGGCTATGGAAGAACCAGAGGAATACCCATACGACAAAAACCTTACATACCAAAAGGTTAACTTATCAGAGCCAACAGAACCTGCGTGAGAGCCTCTCAAGGTTAAACAAGCCTGTGGCAGCAGGGAGCAGAGTGTTTCATGCCCAAGCGTAGTGAGGTGCTCTCTGTCGGCTCAGCTGCTTATCTCAAGCCCAAAGGGCCAGCATGGCCTAAAGTCAGGTTACTTCAAATATTATGGTGCGCAGTGGCTGCAGAAGTGTCAAGAGACAGACCTACTAGTGACTCTGGAAAGAGAAGCATTTCTTTGCTCTAACTGCGATGATTAATTTCTCCCACGTTCCTCACCTCAGTGAAGAAAAACCTAAGATATGCTAGAAGAAAAGCGTGAGAAACCTTTGTTTTGTCACTTGAAGTAAAACTGGCCTAAAAGAGATCCAAGGCAACCAGGCTTTTGTGTTAAAATACTCTGCAGTTACAAATGGCTGTGCACGGCGATCTGAACTCCAGGGCAACCACCCAGGCAGAAAGTGTAATTTGAAGAGTCATTGTTACTACAGTTCATGTTTCACCACAGTTCTTCAGTGGGTACTTTTTCTACATCAGGCCCAGATGACTGTGATGTGAAAGTTACTTGTATTTTTTATACTTCTGAAGTGAAAACAAAACATGATCCATGACAACATTTGTCACACGCAGCAACCAAACACACGCACTTCATATATGACCATTTTTCACCCAGAAAAGGAAAGACACGTCTTAAACACAAAAGCTGTAATTTACTTAATGATGCAGGCATCACTGAATGTAAAACATTTTGCAGCTGAAGTATTTAAGAGCGTAGAGAAGCACAGTTTCTTTTGAAATCACTTTAAAAAGACAATAAACATCATCAGGTTGCAATCAAGCCCTGAAAAAAACTTCTGTCAATAGAGCTGCCTGAAGTTTCAATTAAAAAAGAGTTGGAAAAACGGTCAGTTGAGCTTTAAAAAAAAAAAAAAAAGCCAAACCACACAGCAACTAGGGTTAAAACTAGCCTTCCTCTTCCAAAATACTCACCGGATATTCAAGGAGATCCACTGGTTGTCGAAACGGTTCAGAGTCTTCGCACTGAAAAATGAGGTTCAGCAAGCAGCCCTGGGCTTTCCTTCTTCCATGACTGAATGTCGTAAGACTGAGCTCTATTACGCAGCCGCCGCTTTGGCTGGTGATCCTGAAATGACAGTATCGTCTGAGGTACATTAAATAAACTAGCTGTTTTTATAAAATCTAATGGAAAAAGGTACCCTGCAGGATGTGAAACCTAACTAATGAATCTGTAACACGCAGCAGCACAGACAGAAATGCTTTTACATTAGTAACTCAACAGAACAACATGCCACTGAGTTCAAAACTTTCCAAAAGCTGAAGATTACACAATAATAAAAACATTTTCAGTTTTATATTCCCAAAGTCACTTCTATAGCACTATAAATCGTTGGAAAAAAGAAAAGTTACCTTTCTTTTTCTAGTGGAAGTTCCTGGCACGTTTGTATCTTTCTCTTCTTCCTTTGAGCAAGATAATGAGTCGCATAAAAAGGTTAAAAAAATACAAGCATATATGAGTAGGTGAGCTCTTTCATACTTCACTTATAATCCGAGTCTTCACAGTTCTACCCCTGCCCCCCTGGGAAGCATTCCACGGGACCGTCAGTTTTCAGAACCTCTCAGAAGCCTAAGCAGCATCTAAATTCTCCAAGAAACCCTTCGGACTCTGCACTAAAGGAGGAGAGGAGGCTGGCTTTTGACCTAGTCTCCCAGCTGACCAAAACAAGCACGTGACTGACAGAAAAGTACACCCACTCCCTTACAGTGACTGAAACCAGCCCTTTCGTTCCCAGTAGGACCAAGAGCGGTCCCGTGTCTCCAGTCTACCGATGGCAAATCTCAGACACAACCACTTACCTCATCAGAGTCGGACAACACTTTCTTCTTCATTGCATTGTATAATGGAATTATGTCATAGCAACTCTGGTCTCTGTGCGAAAAGAAATACAGACTAACATTTATTTTCCATTTTCACCTGTGGAATCAACTCTGTTTTGCCTAGGATAAGGAAGAAGTTTATGAAGCCATTCCCAAATAAAAGAATAAAGTGTTTAGTGCTAGATGAATATAAAGAGGACTGCGGTAATAAGAAAAGCTAATCTTCTGCTCAAAAAGCTGTTAACTATCTGCCCTCTAAAACACAGACCACTTAGCAGCGTCCAAGTTTCACAATGAAAAATCATAATCCTTTACCATAAATTGATTATCGTTAGAAGAATCTAATACTATACCACATAAAGGATTTTGGGGCCCCGTGTGAACCTCTATAATTAACTCAGCAAAACAAACACCAATTTTCAGTTCCTGTCTAACACAGCAAACTCCTACACAGAAAAAAGCCCAAAGGAGCTCTACTATGCAGGAAGTAAACACACAGCAACTCCACACTGGAATCATAATCCAGAATGCGGCCGGGGGAGAAGGCAAGAAAGAAAACTAAGCACACACCTTCCCTCCCTCTCCCCCAACCCAGCTTTCTGAGAGACCTGGGTATCCGGAGACTAAGCCCTAGATTCTCAGAGGCGTCGAGATTATTTCACTCTCGTTAGAGCCACAGGGGTTGCCTTCCATGGTGCAAGCCTTCTAGCCTGCAAAGAGGTATGGGCTTTACATGCTAGCTCACTTAAATGAATATATTAACAGACACAAGCTCTAGGACATTATTAAGTAAGAATATCCATGTGTTGCACTAATTTAGCTAAGCCAATTAAACACACACACTTTGCAAAACCCTGAGCTGCTTAATTAATCAGAAAAAGGCCACGAAGGACAAAGATGTTAAAGAAAATTAGTAACAGAGAAGCCCTTTAGACACATATCTGTTCCTACAGGTGTATTTCAGAAAATCTTTTCACATCTGAAGCAGTTAAGTATTTTTCACTCTCCAGCCAATACCAGAAATCACAGGCACCACAGATTTATGAATGGAGTCGTGTCCTAGATTTCCAAATCCATAATGCAGTTCTAATGTTTTTTAAGAACTCACAAAATAAAGAACAAGATTCAATTTCACACCAAGAAACTAAATTGCTAAAAACGTCATGATTTTTGTTAAACTAAAAAAGTGCCCTGTCATTCCCGCAAGGTGGGAATGGCAGTATTCACTGTGTACAAGCAGATCAAGGCAGGGGGCACACTCAGTAAGCTCTTCTTACAAACTTTAGGTCTGAGACAGAAGAACTCAGTGAAAAATGTTTCAGATCTACAGACAGTAATAACCCAGAACATTTGAAAGACAACTACTATTTCTGTCGGCTACAAAGCCTCCAAGGTTTGGGTTTTTGCATATCAAACACCATTTTCAATCATGCTATAAATTGTAAAGACTTCAGAATGAAATCCCCACAGTTGCAACAGCAGCATTCAAATTCAGAACTGGAACTCCTAACTCGCCTACAAATATATCCATTGCTCCATGAAGATGCTCGGACCCATTTTTATCATTTAGCAGGGTATCTTGAAATAAAATGCCACGCCAGACTGTGCCAATCAAGGCATTACAGACCCTGATGTTGTTCTGCAAACTCACATCTTCTTTGTCAAGACAAGCTCTGTTCTTTTCTGCCCCAACAGCCGACAACAGGCGCATTCAAGCTGTGAAACTATCTCACGTCAAAGTTCAGGTCTGAAAAGGCTAAATACCTCGCTGAGGAGCAGGAACAGCAACACGCTAACTAAGCGACTCACTTGATGAAGTGGAGCAGAAGATCCGTGACAAACTTGGCAGATTTCACGATAGGACTTCCGGGTTCATTAAACGTGCGAGTATTATGTTCTATGTACCGGACTTCCCACATCAACGACGAAAGGCGCCTGCACGTGAAGGAAGGGAAGAGGGGAGGGGAGAGGAAGAAAAAGACAGGCTTCATTTGTATCAACGTATATGAAACAGGAGAAAGCCATACACCATTCTTCCAACGTATTATCCCATTCATCCTTTTTTTTCTTGCATTAAACCAGAAAACATGCACAAAAAAATGGATACGTTGCCCTACGTGAGCAGCTGAGGCAGCTTCCTCAGGCTTCGGGCTCTCCTCTTATGCCCTGTGGTAACTTATGCAAATGGCTTTAAGAATATAAAGCTGATGCTCCCTGGGAAAAGTCAGCTCTGACGCTTCAGCTTTTACTATTCCTTTACGATATACATAACCCAGCCTGCATCATCACCTCTTAAGTCACAGCAGTGGAGTAACAAACTAATAATTACTGAAAGCATACGTTTCTATTCTGACAATCTGTCAATCAAATTTCCTCACACAGCTCTGATTTAATGACCTACCTATAAAACAGGCATGTTAACGAAAAATGATGTACAACAGCAAAAGTTATTACAAAAATTAAATCAAAATCTAAACCCAGATGTAATTACAAAAACTACATACTGTTTCAAAGAAAAACTGAGAGCACAGAAGTTACAAATGTATACAGTCCTCAATTTTCACACCAACAGAACACGATGGAAAGAAATGCTGCCCAAGTGCTCTGTAGCTAAGTGGGGGAATGTTTAATGTCTTTCACATAGCGTTAAGGATTTAGATGAAATCTAATCAGTTTAGGGGTCCAGCATCTACTTCTACATAATGCCAGCAGTGACTGGGAAAGGTGGTATTTCTCCTGTTACGTCCTGTATTTTTTAAGGACATACAGGCACGATAAGGCTCCTGGATCAGAAAAGAGTACGTTCTAATGTAAGCCTCACAAAAAGGTACCAAACCCACAAGTGATCTGAACAGTCCCTCCTGCAGATGGTAAAGAAAAAGTTTTCACTGGAAAGCACAACACAAGGCAGTTGCCTCTTACCTGATGAGGTCCTGGCAACAGCACAAACTAATAAAACCAGACTTACCAAATAAAGTATGCTGACTACCACAGCTAACTGCTCACTCTTACAAGAGAAACAACACCCAGTAAGAAGTCCTCACCACCCACCCCGACTGCAAATCAGTGCTTCATAGGAGCCAAAGCTGGCTTATCTGGTATCACACAATAAACTCAGAACAATAAAAGTGCAGACTAGGGGTATTTTTGAACATTAAAAAGTGATTTTTAATTGAGAATTTACTTTTCAGTTAGCACGCACAAAGCACTACAGATTAACTTTGAAATTTGGCCCAAACCAAAATGCTATCCATGTTTATTCCAAGCAAGTATTAGAGGGACACTGATTTTCAAACCAGGAATATCCCGAGAACCGAAGGAAACACATGTAATTTAAAAGAGCATTCTCCTACACAGATATTTACTGCAAAAACACAGCAATTGCAAACAGTTTAGGAAAACATCAGAACGGTGTCAAAAAGTTAAAACTTATTTTGGTTGCTGTCCAAAAATTTATAATTTCAAGGCCAATAATAGAAAGAAGCAGCTATTTTCTGTGTAGATTCTTAAATGACAATGCAACTTTTTGGTTTTTCTAAGTGCATTAGGACAAAACCACTTCACATGTTTCTAAAGTTTCCCTTACTAAAACAACCCACAGATTTAAAAAAAATAATTATTATAAAGTGAAAACTTAATCCTTTTGACTAAAAGTCATGTTACTGACCTAGTCTCTGGTCCTGCAATTGGAATTTCACATGGAGCAAGTCATTTGCATAAGCTGGAATCTGAACACCATGTAATTCTAAAATACATTTTGGAGGAGAGGTTGTGCAATCCTTTTTAGAGTTTTATAAAACGGAAACCTAGATCAAGGACAGAAGACGGGAGAAACGGAGAGCGACAACCTGTACCCATCTCCTAGGTGGGTACTATGAGACACAGAGCTACCAAAGATGGGTTTGGGAGTATGTCCCAGCAGGAACAGAAACCTGGATCTAACCTGTAAAATCTGCTTTCCAGCCTTTGTTTAATGGTACTGAGGTCTGTGGGATAGGCCACCACAGTGCAGTACATTGGGTACGCTTGGAGATCCACAGGTGCCACAAACGCAGAAGCAATATCTGGATAGAATGAAAAAACAGCAGATTTTAAAAACAACCCCAAAGTTACATAGCTCAAAAGTGCTTTAGCAGTTTCAAGATTCCCTGCCTCGCAAGATACTCTATTTCTTTGTGTTTGAAGCACACAGTACTTTCCCCAAAGTAACAACAATAACTGCTCCAGGCATTTTTACATACACAAGTATTTGCTGAGGTGTCTGCTGTAAGTACAATCACTGCAGTGATGACCCACCCTGCTGTGCACGAAGCACCACGCTCCTCAGAGACACGGCAAGGGCATGCAAAATACACCCATGCAAAAAGTAGATTTGAACACATCAGTGACAGGTACATGATGAAGACATGCAACTCAGTACTGTTATTTACAACATGGGCTCAACTCATCTGCTGTTACACTGTCACTCTCCCATCTTCAAACAAAGCGATTGTTAAACTCTTACCGTGAAAGTTACAGTACTATCTCAGTATCACGGATATACAGGGAGAACCCAGACTCAAAAAATCGAACAGAAACACAATCTCCTGTCCCTACCTAACAGCAAAGAAGCCATCTGAACCCAGCCTACCATCACACTAGAAAACTGCCGCGCAACAGCAGTCTGTGCACCTACACAAACCTCCTTTTCTCCTCCTGTGCTTACAAGCACCACGACTGCTTAGACAGATCATGCTAACGCTTTACACCTCAAGGGAAATACAGTTAATACAAAAACATTAAACACCCTTTGAAGTCTCTCTATCTAAACTCTTTAAAACCAGAAAACACGCTGTTGCTAAACAGGCTGTTCCTCTTCCAAAAGCGGTTTGCTTACTCTTAGGGATGTTCTAGCAACCGCGACTTTGTACCGATAGGCACCACGCACGCTACAGTTAAATCCCAAACTAAGCAGCGTGCCACACAACGCAAAGCACGACGCCATTACCCTTGGATGACACAGTGAAAACAACTAAAATTTAATTTCCTTACAGGGGTTTTTTAATGTAATTCTGTATCTTTATTTAACTTGAAAGCCGGTCGATATAGACTGGACATCAAGAAGTTCTTCACAGAGAGGGTGGTGAAGCACTGGAACCGGTTGCCCAGAGAAGCTGTGGATGCCCCATCCCTGGAAGTGTTCAAGGCCAGGCTGGATGAGGCTTTGAGCAACCTGGTCTAGTGGAAGGTGTCCCTGCCCATGGCAGGGGGGTTGGAACTAGATGGTCTTTAAGGTCCCTTCCAACCCAAACCATTCTGTGATTACTACACTATATGGATATTTCCTTTCGTTTGGAAGCAAAGGGAAGCTTCTTATACAGTATGTCACCAAAGAAGTATTTCAAAGACTAGTTCAGAGTTGTCTGGCTTTTCTGAAATGTATCTTGCCTTGCTTCAAGTACTTACACATCAGTTGAAATAACTTATCTCTGACAACTTAGGTATTTACTTTATGACCACTGTTACCCAAAGATTAAGACTGCTGACTTAACGCCGTTTGCTCACTACATAACGTACACAAGACTTATGATTCAGCCTGTCTTTCACTGATGGATCTCCATCTCTGACACCCATCTTTGATCATGTAAGCGTTGCGGTCAGGTGTTAAATGTTTTAACAATTACCTTTTCAGAAGCTGCCTGGAAAGAGTAATTGCTTTACAACCAAACAGCAAGCAGCTTTTCTTAAATTGATCAATTACTTCACCCTCAACATTTTGCCTTTTCCTCAACATTCTGCACAACTAAGGCAATGTGGAGAGAAAAGAGGAATTAGGAAAGGCTTACACAGGTGTAATCTACATACAGGTGTCCATTCTCCAAGTAAGATTCTTTTTTTCCCTATCTGCCTGTAATACAGTTAATATGCTGTTCATCATAAAGTTTGCAATTTTAACCCCAACAAGAGATTCTGGTAGCTAAAGTAAAAAAATCAAGTACTTGTTTCCAGCGTGTGAAACCCCAAAACCCTGAGATATTTCAAATTATCTACCAAAAAGCAACAGTTGCCTTTGAAAAACAAGAGAAAATTTAGGTTTTATATGTCCTCACTATATGAAAAACAAAAACGTGCAATGAGAAAGTTTTGTTCCATTTAAGAAGTAAAAAGGTGTATTTTATCATATTCATTTTGGTAATTTCAAAATTACACACGAGCAAAGTCTGAAAAACATAACACAAAAAGGTTTCCCGTATTATTCAGGATTTACCTAGAGTCATGAGCTGGTTTATTCCTGCAATAATTCTGTCGCACTCCTCGTCTCGGGTCCTGGAGCCCCACTCTCCATCCAGAGGTTTGTAAAGCAGCGTCCTACGCTCATCATCTGTTAAAGGAACACTAGTCCCCAGTTCTTCTGGAAATACAGCTAGAATGTAACATGAAAACTAAATAAAACATAAATCTTTGTATCTTGTGTAACATGTATACCTGTCATTCAGAGACACATCACTTTACTAACCAAAACAAATACATAGTTCTTGGTCTGCGCAAAGACCTTTCGGATGCATCCAGCACCCTTTCTGCACACTGCTGTATGTGGAATTTATATCCTTGCAATGCCCTCTGGTGTACAAGCCTTCCATGAAACAAGACTTACCCTCTTCTGAATAGCTAATTGTAGAATTTATTTTAGAACCAGTACGACACTCCTTTATGACAGTTCAAGTCTGTGGTTTGGTTTTTAAACCCAAAATTCTTGGTAATAAGTGGTCGATGATTTTCAAATGGAGTTTAAGATAATGACTTATAACGTAGATGTTAAAACATCCTCCAGGTACCGCTTCCGCCTCGTCACAGTTTTGTGAGGTCAAGTGCTAAAACCAGACTTCCTGAGCACACAAATTAAAGGTGCTGTCACTCTAGCACGCTCAGGGACCTACCAATCTTAGCAATTCATAACGGAACAGCAGATTGTCAGAGTGTGGTATGAAGCGCTCCTCTTCAATGGTGTCTTAGAATGTTTATTCTACTTCACTTTCTAAGCAGACTTTCATTAAATCTTCTCCTGCTCTTATCAAACTATCTCTCAGGCATGCATTGCACCTTCAGTGTCTCTGGGCATGCTGACAGGTCTCAGAGCAGCCAGTTTCCTCAAAGCTGACACAGGGCACAGCTTTACCTTCAGTCCCTAACTGTGGAAGGAGTGAATGGTAACTGCACATCGTCTACGGTTTTGTAGTGTGTGTATTTCCAACATACATGGGGTTTACCTAAGCATGGCTGTGTGGTTTTTTCGCAGTTCATTCATCTTGATCCACTTTTAGTTTTGTAATTCATTTAAGGATGTTCCTCAAATGCGACTGGTTTGTGGGCCCTCCCCCCTCACTCCCCAGCAGAAACACGATTATTCAGGTAGAGCTATGCAACTTTTTTTTTTTTTTAAATTCTTTAAATACACTCGTAAAGCAAATTATATTATTAAGGTACCATACCATTACTTGGTATCAGCTCCATGTCCCAAGGGCTCATCTTCTCAGTATCACCGTTGTCCCAGCTTAAAAACAAACACATTTAAATTATCTACTAATATTGCTCCAACAATGTAATAATTTAACGTTTGTAACATAACTTATTTATATACCACAGAGTATTACAGTAACTGCTACGGTGAGATGCATGACTGAATTTAATGAAAGCAAGTTGCTCAGTCAGTACTTCAAATGAAAATAACTGATTAAAATAAAAGACTGAAGATAAATTTGCTAACCAGACATTGTAGCACTGAAATAAGCTATCAGGATAATCAGGCTGAAGAGGTTCCTGGCTTTCAATTGTTCCAAACCACCAAGCATCGTCTATCACTGACCTGAAACGATCACCTAGGTAAGAACACAAAATAATTTCATCAATACAAGGTGCTCCTCCCAAGAAAAGCAGTTTTTAGATACATTTGGCTTCATCTTTAATACAGAAATCCTCTTAACACCCTTAGCATCAACAGGAAAACACGAATCATACTCAGTTTTTAAAATGATAGCATTAAGGTCTTTCTGAAGGCTGCCTTTAAACCGAAATAAAAGTTAACATGGCATTGAAAAAACCCCCAAACACACACAAAACCAATTAATGATTCGTGAATCTACCTACAAATTATTTCTATATGAATTTTTAACAGGAAAGACATTTCAACACACTAACTCTGAGACTCAAGTCTACCTGCATTAAACACTACATGGTTATCGTAAAACCACTCAGCACTGTGACACTTCTGTCTGGTGAACTTTTTACATGCTGCTGAGCTCCTCCCTCCTGAGTTTCTGAAGTGCTCTTTAGCTACCCAAATGAAACTCAGAGGTTCATTCCCTTTGCTACGCAGACAATCTGACTGATAAAAAAATAAAATTTATTAAAGCTTCTTCAAAAGGTTAGCCAAGTAATTTACTACAATTTGAAATGGCTTTGCTACTGCAAAGCATTTGCCTAGCTGAGAGAAAAGGTCATAAGCGTTATTAAAAAAAAATTACATGTGAGAATATGTGTATTACACACCATCCTAAATTCTAACATTTTCTATTACACAGGCCACACAATTTAGAAACAGTTTTCAGTGAAGTATTCCGTTCACTCAACACAAGAACAAATGCAGTTCAAGCCTGGGATTCCAAGAACCGCACGGTTTTGCTTTCAGGGGATTCAAATATACACACACTTTCTCAACTGCTGCACTGTTTGTTCTGTTTCGATACATCCACATTCTGCCCAAATGCTCGTTGCAGTTGTCCGAATTAACAGGAAATAAATATGTTCTCAAAAATGTCCTGCTTTCTTTACTCCATTTTTTAATTTAATGGGTTGCAAGTAATTCTGGGACAAGTACCAAGCTGCCATTAATAGTCCCAACTGGGCACAATGAAACAGAACCAAGTATAGCAGAAATATCTGAAATGCAAGATCAAAAACATAAATAAGGGCTGATGCTTTATTTTAAAAGAATAAATTATTCTGAAGGGCTCTTCCATTGCAGCCTCCCAGTACAGCATTCCCCTGTGATCAGTTTTACAAAGAAACATGTGTAGGTAGAACTGTGAGTCCCTTCATGGGGCTGAACATTAAGCAGATCACAGCGATTCAGAGGAGTGTATACCGCAGCCGTTTCCGATTTCTCCAGATCCACGGCATAGCTGAAGCAGAAAACAACGTGACTGAAAAAGCCCGCAAACCAACCTCTTCAATCACTCTTCTTCCAATGTCCCCTGTCTTACCTCATCTATGTGGACAGCAGAGCAAAAATTCTCATTGGAAGAAGGATTTAGCATAGTTTTCCTCAATTCTGTATCACCAGATAATGTTAGCTTGGTGAAAATACAAGCCCTGTGTTGACCTTGAAGTGGCTGCTGTGTAAGAGACAGGTATGTACACCTGCCTAAGACTCACAGCTAAAGCTGCAGGAATCTTACTGGATAAGCTTTTAGACCCCGTATTAATCTTGTACTTAAACTATAATATCACCAAGATATGCAATAAATAGCGTATGAGTAGAAGAAATATGAACCTGTCACTTCTCAAAATTTAAGTTTGTACTTTCTGAAAGGATTAGTACCTAAATGTACATTTGATATAAAAATATAAGTATCATAGCTAAGCAAATATTCTTCCCTAAACCAAACAAAACCCAAACAACAGAAGCACACCCCAAAAGACACCAAAACACCAAGAACTGTTATTAGAAGAGGAACGGTTTAATGACTTACAGTAGAGTCAGAAAATGTAATACCAGTGACTCTCCCAACAGTACTATGAGAACACTGACTTGTAAGGCCAAGTGCCAGAAATCACAGAGGAGTAAGAAGACACAGTAATAGTTGTCCTGAAAAGACAAACCAGCAACTGCAGGACATGAAAAAAAATACCGGTCTGTTGATGAAGAGCTACGGCGAAAGCTCAGAAAACTTGAGCATGTCAGATAAATCCTGGGGATTTCAGACTCACGCGGTTACATGCTCAGGAACAGTTTCATGTACAGTTCTACGGCGTTTCTCCTTATCCTGGTGGAAAAGACGATCTACTTTCAAGGAACATTTTTATACTGTGTTTCAGACTGCAACCAAACGGCACACAGTCTGTTCTGAGTACATAAGCATACACTATGCAACATCCAGAGTGCCGATGTAGGGAGCAGGGGAGCAACCTGGAATCCTCCTGGAATACCTGCAACGGTTCTAACAGCTGCGCCTTTGCACCTTTGCTTTATCATTTCATACGGTCTCAAAGCAGGAGACTATCTCACCACTATTTTTACCACCCAAAAGAGGAACGGAAGAACGAACTCTAGCACATGTTTGCCAGAGGTACAAGCTGGTACTGGACGTTATTGGCCTGAAACTCGCACCGCTCACACTGAAGGCTTGATAAAAGGTTCTGGTGCTTCCAATGCTTCTTGTGTTAACTCCCACTCTTCCCACACTGCAAGTTCCTAGAAATACAGCTGCCAGCCAGGAAGGACATGCTACCTGCACTCACAGTCTCGAGAGCAGCAAGGGTAACACTGCTAAGTCCCTCTTCTACTCCTGGATTTCTACCACCGTGGCTGACAGACTTCTGGCTAGGCTGTTCATACATGAGGGATGGCAGTCATTCTGCTACTGCTGCCACGATCCTGCAGGAAAACACATATGGCATGGCAGAGGAGGACAAGACCACAGATCCATAACTATCAGGAAAGAGCAAAGCTTGGTGACATACTAGTAGATGTTGACCAGTCTTGTTCCTTTAAGGGATCTTTAAGCTGAAATAATCTTTAAAGAACAGATCAAGGTTTACAATTCCTATTGAACCACAAGCGTAGGGCCCTTGCCAAATTCCCGACAGAACTGAGGGCTAGCTGTCTTCTCAGACACAATAATGTAAGGTGTGAGATGATACAGAACTTAGGGCATTATGTAATTTATACATCTACGGCAAAGACACACATCCTAAGCAGGAATATCATGATGTACATCAAAGGACAGGAGATAATTCATCTTTCCTGGCAGGAAAGTCAGGTAAGGAACAGCTAAAAAAGAGCTTTTAACAGGCACTTCTTCAAGGTACTTCGCTACAGTAAATTTAGGAGAGGACAGCACTTTGAAAGCAGCGAATACAGACTAAGGCAGCAGCGTATTTGCAGAAACGTCATGTCGTACCAGTTGTTTCTACACAGGCACTCAGAGACACCACCATGTTCTTGCATTAAAACCCTCCGTTCTGCTATACGATGCTCTGCCTCAAGTGGCAAGAAATGCTGCCAAGTCAGCTGCGTACATGCCAGCCATGGCTCCTGCACGGAAGAACTGCAGGAATTGAGCTGGTACGGTAATCACTGCTACATCACAGAAAACGCCTTTAACACCGAGACCTGCTTTAGAAAAATAAATGAATAAAAAAAATCAATGTTTCCCTTTCAGGAGCATGTCACACACACATTTCGCCTTTAGGGGAACAGAGTTCAACCTGAACTCTGAAGAATCAGTCATTCTTGCTTAATCTTTTAGGTTTCAGAGATAATCTAAAGCTGTTCTTATGCACGAGAACACATGTATTTCCTGACCTCCTGAACAAAAACACCACCTGAGAGGATCATTTTGTCAAACTGCAAGTTTCTCTCCCCCTAGTCAGACTGCCTTCTTGAAAGGTGATCCTTGTTATCATACGGAAAAGATCACTAGGAAATAGATCTGACAGGTATGTCCTCCAGTCATGGATACACTCTAGTAACCAACACCTTGAAATAACTAAGCCCAGGCAAAATAAAACGAATCCCAAACATCCCCACATCAGTGAAATGTCATTACAGACGCCTCAATGAAGCTAAGCCAGGTGGGGTTTAGAACATGATTCAAACATACAGGAATGGGAAGGGCGTTCTGTTTGTACTATCTAGAGATCATAAATTTCCAATGGTGATGTTTCGAGCAGAAATTGGAAACAAAAGAGCGTAATTGTAGTGGCAATACAGCTGTAAGAGGGCCTTCAATCCAAAAAAAGAGATAAGCAATACATAGACTATAGTAAGTTATCAGTTACTAACAAACACCGTATTTCTAAAAAGCGTTCTAAATTTCTCTCTGCAAACACACAACAGATTTTCTTCGCACTTCCTTTCGCACATCACCTCCGGTATTTTGTTTGCTTGCTGTAGCTTCAGTCAAGGACAAAGCAGGACTCCACACCCAAATATGGACAGACCTTGTTCACCAATTTCAGCAGAGTATTAAGATTTAATTACTGTAAGCTACATTTTAATAAATTGTCATGAAAATAGGCAGATACGTAGAAAAACAAACACCATGCCAAAAAGCTCCCCACACAACTCACCTATATTCCATCTCCTGTGTTTTGCATCATCAAACTGCTGCCTCAGAACTAGGAAGTCTATGACATCTGGCATATCATGGTACCTAAATACAACAGAACACACAACTATTAGGCGATGAAGCAGCAAAGGCTCAGAGTAAAGCGCTTACATAAAAAATTACCACTTTGAATGCAAGACTTCAAAAGCAAAAGCTCAAGTCATGACATTAGTGGCACCTCCCAACTTTCAACCTCACATCTTCCCCTCCCTACAAGACAGCCCCCAGTTTGAATACAATATTGCTTTCCTTACTTCATGGTGAATGATCCTCCCGTTAGTTTACCCGTGTCAGGGTCAAGAAAGGCGAGTTTAAGACAGCAGAGAGTAGGCAATCCCACTTCATACTTAATCCCAACTATTTTCATCAGCTCTTGCTCCTGGAATAAACAAAACATTACATACCACCAAGGAGGTTAAGACGACTATGGTAACTTCCTGAAACATGAAAATATGGGTGTGTTGAGAAGACCAGGTTTCTGCTAGAATAGGTCAAAACCAACTATCTGAAATTCAGTCTTTCAAAACAAGTGATTATCTCACAGTGTAACTTGTTTGAAGCTTTTTTTTGCTATGAAGTGCAACCAGCTCATCTGCTCAAGCAGATGCAAAAAGTAGTACAGTTTAACGTCTAATTTCATTTCACTATTTATTAAGTTAACTTTCCCCCCTTATCTTAAAATACTAAGAGCACAACATTAGAAACAGCTGTATCAAGAATCTTTCAGTTAGTTTCCAAGTGAAGCCCTGGAACAGGTTGCCCAGAGAAGCTGTGGATGCCCCACCCCTGGAAGTGTTCAAGGCCAGGCTGGATGAGGCTTTGAGCAACCTGGTCTAGTGGAAGGTGTCCCTGCCCATGGCAGGGGGGTTGGAACTAGATGGTCTTTAAGGTCCCTTCCAACCCAAACCATTTTATGATTCTATGAATTTCTTTAAAATATTAAGATAGCAAACAAAAATTAAGAAGTAGTCATACCCGTAATTCCATTTTATGCCATGGTTGTTTCTTGGGATTAATACTATATATTTTGTTCTTCTTAGCCATTATAACGTATGCTTCATGACCTTGTCGGAAATAGTAGACCTAAAATTGAAACACGACAAGTTACCTAACTAAGATTTTGAGGAGCTGAAACGCTAGCGTATCACTGCCATACAAAGTGCGTACTTTATGTTTTATCATCAACATTTTTGACCCTGTTTTCCTGCAAAAGTCACAGGTTCTTAAAAAATTAAGTGGTGGACAACTAAAGTAGGTACAGTAGAAACACAGAAAAAGTAGGAAAGATTTAGGTCACCATTTTCCCCTATGAGCAAAATATCCTAAATTACACACGAGACCAAAACGAAACAGTAAGGCAAACATCTATTTATCCTCACTATGTAACAATTAAATGACAGTAACATGAATTCCACTAATCCACCTGGTTATTCACCACTGTACAACAGACCTAAGATGACAATTATCACTAAATTCACTATCTGGCTAATCAGATCTTTTTTGAACAAGAAACACATTCTAGAAGAAAAATTCAGCTGTTACTGTTCTAGGAAGATTTTAGTGTTTGTTTCCGTACCACCGAACAAACCACCTAACAAAGACATCAACAAACTGAAAACAGACATTTCAAGTGCTTATTAAAATTTGTCAAACCCTTCCATTATAAATCTCCATGTTTCAGACATGAACCATGTTCAGTCCATCTACTTTTGATCCTGTTGTACAGGATTCCATGTGGATGCATGTGTTTGGCATAAACCATCACTAAAATGAAGTAGTAAGCTGAAAACCGTGAACATGCATTCAAGGAATGTATCCTAAATGCAAAACAGAGGTTCCTCAAACTAATTAGAACAAACATCTGACAAAACAGCTGTATTCCAGGTATGATGCATTCCAAATAAATAAAAACCCTCTAAAACTCCCCCAAGCTATAAACATGGGATTCCCAGCAAGTAGGACGGGGGAAGAAGATGGTAAATGTAAAGGTCTAACACAACAAAAAACAGGCAGAGCGAAAAGCCCTCAGTAAGTTTCAGAGTACACTTGCACTAATAAACACACTCATAGTTGTACTTCTACATGCTTCCCAAAACTGTTGTATCCCAAAACATTACGAACAACTGTATCACGTTTCTGCATTAACAGTTAGTGAACTTGCTTAATGTCACACAGCATTTTTTTTTTAAATGGTGAAGGATCAGCACCACAATATTTTTTAAACTCTTGTTTTTCAGAGTATTTGACACGCACAATAGCACTGTAGGAAAAAAACGCACCGCAGAAGGCACGAAAGCGGCGAGACTCTCCTATGCACTGTCAGAGTCTTAGTGACAGGGAAAGGAACAGAGGCTACTGAGAGACAGATTCAAAATAACAGCAATTTAAATTACACTTTAAACACTGTGACAATTGTTCCCTGTACCTGCCAGTGAATCAGAACAGAAAGATCCACTTAGTGGCACAGGCTACAAACAACTCCTCCTACACTTCCTGTTTCTGCTAAACCTCTACATAAATTCAATGCACTGCTTACAGAAGTGAAACATTTTGATTTTGGGAAAGCAGTGAAACATTTTGATTTGGGGTCTAAGCGCTGCACCTTCTGACAGAAGAATAAATTAGAAAGATATCTGTAGAAAAAAGAATTTATGCCTTTTTCCAGGAAATTACATCTTTAATCTTGTTAAATTCTTGCCTCATGTTTGCTGCAGTAGCTGGACAAAACTGTCCTTTATCCTTTTAATGGCAGAATAATCCAACAAATATGCATTGTGGTTGGATAATGAGACAGGGAAATTGCAGTCCCATCTCTGCTGTGTTTCCACTGTTCCACAGGACACACGACAAAGGCCTGTAAATAGCAGCATTCGGAGAGGGAAAAGGGATGGTACGTGGTATTCCTACGCAGCGAGTACAACTAAGTATAGCAATCCTGTTTTTTCTTACTTGTTTGTACAGCTGTGAGAGAACAAATTTGAAATATCTCTCCTCCCAAATCTTCTAAAACATACCAACCATCCACCAAAATATTTGAAGGCCACATGAGACCTCATTGTATTCCTCCAATTAAACTGATCTTTTATTCCTGTGGCTCTCAAAAGTAACTTTCTAGATTAAAAGCTTCTTTTCCCATCTTAAGCAAATCCGGGGAGGTTAAGTACCAGAGATGGAATCTCGGATAGAGCAGCTTCATTACAAATGTACTCCCTGCTGCTGCAACTACTCCTACTTTCCAGGCACAGGACAGGAAATTTCTTGTTCACCCATCTAAAACATTTTTCAGCAAAAGAATGCAGCCTACTCAGATATTCCTAGTACACCCTGAACAAGCTGTGCAGCAGGTGCCAAACCAAACACACCCGTTTACCTTACTAAACCAATACAATGTTCAAGTCTCCTGGGTAATACAGTACAGAGAAATCCTTGGCTGCTTCACTGTGTCCAGATGGTATCACGCACCAAATATATTTATTTGGACTTGATCTTTTGAATGGCATAGTCTCCAAAGCACACTTGCTGGAGGGTATAACAAACACAGAAGCATTTTCCCCAGCTGCAACTCTCAAGTCAAAGCGCTCTT